CGAACAAAGCGCACGGCCGCGCCCCGGCCCGGCGCCGCCCCCGCACACTGGCTCCCCCGCACCGCGGGTGGGCGACCACCCCGCGCCCCTCACCGCCCCTCGCGGCGCGCCCGTGCGCGGCTCCAAACGCGCTCGGACCCAAGCTGGGCCAAGCGGGAGGTGAGAAAAGCACGGCCGCCCCGTCCGCGTTTGTTCTCAGCTCCCAGCCATACAACTGACATGGAGGAGGCACCAACCCTCGATTTCCACACACGGCAGGTCCAAAAACTGATGTATGCACACTTCACAGATTTGCCTGTGCCTTATTTACCAAAATACAATCACTGCTGCCCTTGCCAGTTATTATGGACCAGTTACCCTCGTTACTGAGCCCATCGTCAGTGCCACTGCAAGCCCCTAGACTGAACTGCAGTACCTGTCCACCAACCTGAACCCGAGACCTAAGCTTAAGGCCTGGGCAACCTACTGACTAAACATTCACTTCATTCAAGGCAAGACTGGAAATTTGCACAAGTTTCTAGGACTGCAAAAGTTTCCAGGCAGACTGGCATTTGATCATAGATAAAACTAGGTAAAAAATGAATACTGCCTTTTTTTACAAAAAACATGCTTTTAAGAAAACCGATACCTGCAATTTCATATAAACATTCGTTAACAGTCCTAGGCACACAACAGACAAGCAACATTCAAAATTTTCCAATGTTTGGCCTTAACACCAGCTGCTTTCACTTCCACAGCAGAGCATTAAACAGATGAAACCCATATGTACTCATGTACATATGTTCCAAAGATTTTTTTTTGGGGGGGGGGGGGTTTCTTGATAGAGAAAAAAAGAACATTATCTCAACTGTATATCAGTTTCAATGTGCCAACAGCAATAGGATAAAAATGAATACTAAAATAACGATGCTCTGAAAATTTTCAAATGTACCATGTACTGTGAAGCACGAATCCATCTGTGGCTTTCAAAGTATTAGTCGTAATAACAAGCCATTACCAAAGCCAGCGCAATAAATGTTTCAGTTTCACATTTAGCTGAAACCCAGTTGTCTCTTTGAACATCCCAGAGGCATCTGCTGGCAACCTAAAGGGAAAAAAGAGAAAAAGCTATTTGTGAATATATATACAGCACTGGTTTACTATTTATTTTTTAAAGAACACACAGCATTATCGAAATGCTAATCTGATCGTATTATGAGAGTTATAACCAGTAACAACAATGCAAAAGTTGAGTGAAAATTAACAATTCCTATTCGATGTTAAATACATGCTCTTGCTTCACAGTAAAGCTCCCACCGATAGATCCAAAAATCTCTACACCAAGCCCCAATTCTCTCTCGTGTTCACTTGCTGCACTTTAGCATACTGTTAAGAGTACCCCTTAAAAAGCAGTAGAACATGTCTGTGTGAACAGACATTACTTTTGGGAACATATCGAACTAAGAAGTCATGTCCCCCACTCCTCCACCTCCAGCTTAGTCCAGGTCTTGTAACCATTTACTGGGCTCTCAGCTTTTTTGACAAAATTGTTTTCGAAGCTAAACTCTGTGAACTGATGGCTGGAATAAACATATTCCTTGGGAGAAAAAAGTTGACTTGGACCACTTCACTAATCTGTTTGCACCTTATTGTTTTCAATTTGCAAAATGTATTGTGAATAATGTTCACTTACGATCATTGCCTGATCTGTCTTTTCCACAATTAGCACTGATACCACATATTTATAACGGTCAAAGCCAAATTCCTTCACAGCCTTTAATATTTCTTCTGAGATTGAAGCACACAACAAGGGACTAGAAACTCCATCATAGCTGGCTTGTTGAAGTTTACTCTATCAAAAACAATTTCGAAAGATCTTAGTTTTCATCCTGGTAGCCTTTTGCAAAAAAACCTTTTACAGTCATTTTCATTACAAGAACATGAAAAGAACTAATGAGTAGAATAGTCAATATAGATGATACTCCCAAACAGCAAAGGATGCACTACTTTCACGCTAAAATGTTTTATCTGTTTTTTTGAAAGGGACACACATTTGATGTGTGTCCAGCCAATCTCAATTTAACAATGAGGAGTGTATTCTTTTCTATCATTTGGGCTCAGTTCACAGGAAAAGAGTGCTACAAATACCAGTTCCAAGTATCCAAGGCGTGTCTTCCAGACAGCAAAATTAAAAAAGAGCTGGTTATAACTATTCAAAGTATCACTAACAGCTACGTATTATCTCCACAGATTGTTTTCTTTCATTTTTGCTTAATTTTTGTATGTAGCAGTCTGACCATTAAGAACACCACGTATATTTTAGGCAGGTCATGTGATATTAACTAATAGAATTCCACAAACTTGAGGTCATGATCTTTGGCTAACTGGGTATTTTGCAGATCAGGGTACTTTGAATGGGCTGTAGCTCAATTTGATTTCAAAAAAAGGCAAGCATTTAAGAAGATTCAGCTCCACATAAGCAGCACCTAACAAGCTCGGCAGCGACCTTGCAGAGGCCCTTCTGCACTTTGCCAAAACAGAGCACATTCACAAATGTATTTCTGTGGCAAAACTCAAAGACTGCAGAGATTTATGCATATGTTTAAGTTCATGCAATTTACCTTGTTCCATAAGTACCTTTGCGAGACAAGCTACTTTTGCAATAAAATCAGACAATTAATTTAAAAAATACTGTACCGTTAGTATTTGTTGAGCTTTGTCTCTTACTAAACAATCCCGAAATTTATTACGTGACTCCAGTCTGTATGTGTTCACGCATTTTGTCTTTGTCTTTGCCTGTTCTTCCACTGGAGCCACAACTGAATCTTCAGAAAGGGATCGTGTCTTTTTTCCTTTCATCTGAGCAAAATAATCAGAAAGTCCACATCACATGTCAATATTTTCAAATTTAACAGTCTTTAAATAATACTTTATGGTGTACAGTTAAGAGGGGAAAAATCCCCAACAATTAGTCTAAGAATACGTTAACAAAAAACCCACAGAAAGCTAGAAACTGGTTTATCATCTTCTGGCTGTTTTAACACTACTACTGCTTTGACTTCTTTTCCAGCAAAATGCAACTGAAGTTTGCATTTAAACTCAATCAATCAGACACACCATATTAGTACTCCGAATCCACTCCATTTTCCAAGTAAAAATACATAGCTATTAACAGGTCCATCCAAGGCTGTTAACCACAAGTTCAAGCTTTTAATTCAAACAGCCTACACAACACCCAAAATATGTACTTGGTTCATTCACTACTTCATTTTATTTATCCTCATTCCTTGTGAAATTACTAAACCAATGGCTTATGTATTGATGACATAATTTGCTCTTAAAAAAAAAAAAAAGGGAAAAAAAAGGAAAAAATAAGCTCCAGTCTGCAAATTACTGTAATTTTGCTTGAAACTTAAATGCAGATTTCTGAAGATCCAGTTTTCTCCCCATTCAGTTGTGTATTATCTCTTCAACCATCATAACAAAATCTGTCCCTCTATGAATGCAAACAGCAACTCTGATGTTGCAGATAAAAGATGTCACCTGCTGTCCTCCAGGGCTGGTTTAAAACAGAACTGTAAAATGATAATAAGACAGAGACAGAAAAGCACAAGGAACTAAAGAAACCATAACAAATGCTACAGGCAATGGTCTTCCATACCAGCTACCTCCTCATGAACCACTTTCACATTTTGCCAGCTCTTCAGTCTCTTACTCCACTTCTTGACTACAGGTAGAACTTAGACAAGAGTAAATCATCAGTTCCTTCCCAGAAGGGCAGAAAACAGCTCAAAGGTGAATTAATATCACAAAACAAGGCTTACATTAAGATATGGGAAAAAAAAATCATACACTTGTGGATAATATGAAAGTGTAAAGAGAATTATTTGACGAGATGTGCTACTCAGGGGCTCACAAATCTTTCAGTCTAAGGAGTTTAAGAATAAGGAAAGAAATGCAGTTTCTTCTCTGTGAAATCACTTACACGTTAGCCTTGTCAACGCTGTGGACACTACTTACATGTCTCCTCTAGTTCCTTAAAACTAGTGATTTTTGCATCCTTAGTCCTAATTGCCTACAGGTGTTTGTTGATACCACACCAACACCGCAAACTCTGAACAGCACTTACTCAAAAAATGTATGGAGCAAACCCATTTGCACTTAGGCTGTAGACACTTACTACATTCTGACTGCAAACTCAGGTCTCGAATGACTACCACCCTGACATGCTTGTCATAGGTCTCCTAACAGAAGAAAAACCACCAAAGTCTTCCAGCTGAGCTGCTCAAATGAACACTCCGTTTCACATGAGTAGAAAAGAACCTGTGAAAAAGATCGCAACCCAAAGAGCGATTCTTTGCTAACACGGTTCAGCTGGAGTCACAAGATTTTCAGCCACTTCGATTACAGATGGAAGAAAACTCATGTCTATAGCACATGACTTCTAATAATGCTCGTACTTAAAAGTTTACCTGCTATTATTAGTGACAGAAGTTTTCATAATCGTTTGTAAAAAGCCATTTACTAAAGAGGCAACCAAAAACCTTATCGATTTCTCTAAACAAACAGCTAGTCAATAAACCTACTTCTGTATACGGCAGTACAAACACTATGATTCCAAGTTTTAGCACAATGTTGCAATTACATTTCTATATAATATCTGCACCTCTGTGAAAAAATGTCTCTAAAATTCAAGAACTAACTTTATTTCTGATTACTTGACCAACAAAAGCCTGTCCTTATGTTACTGGCCTACTACTAAATTGGCTTAACCTTGGACATGTGAAAATAAGTATGCTGAGAGAAAAAACCTTTTGCTATTTGAAAGAAATGTTGTTACTAAGCCTGTTTAAAAAAAATAGCTGTTAAAAGAAACAAGAAACAGTTCTTGTTTATTTCTTCAAAAGGGGTGCTGCTCTAAGTTAAAAGTTGTGCCCTCAAGTTGGAAAGACGGCACCACCAAAGGAAGGACCATCCTTTCCTTCCCTTTACCTTCGAAACAGCTGGGCCTCCCAGTGCCTCAGCCAGCACGCCAGCTGCAAGGCAGGTGTGAACGTGACACCTGGCCAAGCAGAAAGGGGACGAGCTATCCCAAGTCAGACGCCAATCAAGCGGGAACAGTCATCCTACAACTTTCCATAAGATCACAGACAACTTTTAACCTCACACCGAGCCCCACATTCTCCCACGCACTGTACCGCCCTTCCGAAGGACATCCCTCCCTCCCAACTGAAGCGCTGCAGGCCCGGACCGGCGCCCCCGCCTCAGCCGGGCATCGCATCGTGCCCGCCACCCTCGCACCACTCCCTGCCCAGGGGGCCGCCAGCCCCCGGCAGCTCAACCCCCGGCACTTCCTCTCGCCCTGCCGGCCGCTCACTGTGTCTTTATCGGCCAAGCCCTGGCGCCGCTTTCCTCCCTCCGTGGGGGCGGCGGGCTTCATCCCCTCGGAGCGCTTATCCGTTGCTTCCCCCGCCGGACTGGGAGCCGGGCGCGGAGCGGCCCCGGGGCCCTTCCCGCTCGGCCCGGGCGTGACGCAGCGCGGGCGGGGCCGGCGGTAACGGAGGTACCGGAGGTAGCGGCGCCATGGCGGGGGCGGCTCCGGCAGCGGGATCGGGGGCTCGGGGGCTCGGGGCTGGGGTGGCCGCCGCCCTCGGGGCTGCGACGGGCCCTTCTGGGCCTGGGGCGATGCTGCGGCCGGAGGGCGGCGCGGCGGGGAGGAGACAGGAGGAGGCAGCCCTGCCCAGCTTCTGTCAGTGGAAGCGTGGGGCTTGGTGACCTCTCCCTCAAAAGATCACAGCCCTCACCCATGCCCGGCCTGTTTTAGATAAATAATAATAATAAAGGGTGGCTGCGTTAGTGCAGGATTTGCTCTGGCCTCTTGTCCTTGACAGTGAAACGGAGGGGGGAGGGAAGGACAAGGTGAAGGTCTGAATGACATTTTATCGACGTTTTAGATTATTTTTTTTTTAATAGAAGGGAGGTACTCCTGGTGGCAGCTAACACGGGTTCCCGATAGGAACTGTTACCCTTGCTCCGTACGAATACCCATATAAATATCTCTCCTTGAAGACATGAATACAGAAACTACATATCATGAGGGTCTATTCTGCCACCTAATTAAAGAGAAAAAAATGTTCTTAATTTAATGGAATTTTATTTTTTATTTGTTGTGGTACTTCATTTTCAAACAATTTCTTGTCTGTTTCATTAATAGAAAGCATGACTTTTTGGGGTTTTTCTTTACTAAATCAGAAACATTTTCTTCATTTTTAGCATGGGGAGTTATATTCTTGCAATTTTTTTAATTGAAAGTGTGCTTCTGAATCAGTTTGTCTTTCTATTTAGATTAACGTGGAAATAACATTAGTGCTTAGATTGTAGCTAACATTGCTACAATGCGGAGGAATTCAGATGTTCCTCCCCTACCCCCCTCCAAGGATTTTGCTGGTCGTTAAGGACTGGAGCTCTTGATTGTACTTGAGGTAGCATCAGTTTCTCTGCAAGCTCAGAGATTAGACAGAACATTTATATATAAACTGGGATCTTTTGCTTCAGTCTATCTTGTTATCAGTTCAGTAGATAGCCACTCTGAAATCATCCTGGCACTATGAAAATAGAGCAGTTCTACCCCTCAGTTTTCCCAGGGTGTTTCTGGTCGAGAGTTCCTTTCATCATATGCATAATGAAACTTGTGTTGCAAACCTTAACAGCTTGTTTACAGATGCCATATTACTGTCTGTCTGTGCTGATGGGCATGTTTTAATAATTTTCTTTGTCTCGTGCTTTCTTGATACAAGAATTCTTTTTGTTTGTGTGTTTTTGTTCTAGATGGCGTTGTCAGACTCGGTCAGTACTTGTCTTTCTCAGCCTGTGCATTATGCAATTTGCAAACTTGGATTTGAGAAGAAAGACACATATGATATTAACAATATTTTATCTGGAAATGGTGAAGTATGTTGGCAGGCTGTTACAGAGCATGTGCGTTACCTTGAATCAGGTTGGTGTTTACCTGCTGTAGTAGTGATGATACATTTAAGACTGATGCAGAATTTCAGTACATATGATAGCAATTCTAGCTGAGTTACGACATTTTGTTACAGTACAGCATTAGCTTTGCTACTGATTTAGAGTATGTACAGTTAATATCTACAAAGAGCTTTAAATTTTTCATCCACACTTGGTATTTGGCTTTTGCTGGCTCCTAAGGTTCATGTAATCTGTAGCTGCTACTTTGCCTTCATCTTGGTTCCCAGTTTAATGTGCCTGTAACCTAAGGGTTCAGTCCTGCTTCTTTCCAACCTCGTAATTGCCGCCTTCTGTGTTCTTTATATTCCCTTTGCAGTAAACTTAAAACACTCAGGGGCCATCAGTATTCCTACTGTTGCTTCTGGTTTTGTTTCTCCAACTCTAGCTTGTACAGAAGTACCATTTGGTTTCTCTTCTATATGTAGAATAGTTTATAGTTGGTTTTTAACCAAAGAAAACATTTATGCCCTGATGAACTCACTGAATTTTAATTTACCAAATTGCATCATGCAAGCTCTGTTATTAATTTCCAGAGGTAGTAAAAATGATACATGTTTCTGCCTCAAGGACTGTCTCTCAGTAAATGACAAGAATTTATTTTCCAATAAAAAGTGTCCCACCAAAAAGAAGCAGTGATACCGCTCTGTAAGGTACCGTATCCATCTGCATTCTTTAAAGAGTCTAAGTGGTGCAACTGGACTGAGCCTGCTGAGCCTGTACTAGCTTCCAACTCGATTATGTGGAATTTCTGTAGAAATTCTAGTAGATTCTTCCCATTTCAACAAAAGCAGAACATTAATGATTCTATTTACTTCCATATTTTCTTGTGTTTAGGCTTTGTTATTTTTTTTTAATTTTGTTTGGTTGGTTTTGTTTTGTTTTATTTGGAGAAGATGCTCAATCTTACCTGATTTTGCATTGCAGTTTTACTTTTCAATATCTGTGTTTTAGACAGTAAATTGTAGTGTATTAATTGTGCTAGAAAAGTCTGGATAAAATTCTCTGTGCTAAATATGTACACAAGCTCTAGCAGGTTTTATTCCTTATGAGTTTTAAAATATTGGACCTTTGGGAAGATTGGTACACTAATCACCTTCTCTTTTTCAATTTAAGATCAAAGTGTGGATTATATCAAAAGTATACGATCGTTAGGACCTGTATGTGAGTCTGTTAATGTGCACTTCAAATCTCTGACCAAGGAGCAATTCATAATTCAGTATGCATCGTGGTTGCACTGGACAAACTGCACAGAGGTATAGAAATTTCTGTTAACAATTTGTATTTTGGCACATGAATCCTTTGTGGAAGTTTAATGTAAGAACAAAAAAGAGATATCCATGAACCAAAATGTTTAGAATTTGTGACTAATTGTCTGTCTCTGTTATGTGGTTGCTTGTAGTTTCCCTGACTTTGTAATTATATTTTATGTTAGAGAACATGAGGTGCTTTGGGCCTGTTCTAACATAAGATCGTAGGATTTTGTTTTTCTAATAATCTGTGCCTAGCTTTACCTTATAAAGTTATTGTGGATAATTTTTATATATGTAGGGCACTGCGTATCAAGAGGTGCTCTAGGGAAATTTCTCTCCAGGCATCTATATTTTTATCTACTTGGCACAGTTTTCTTTTCTACATTTGTATAGCAACTATCTCAGAGGAATATTTAGGTTTCTCTGTGCTTTTTAAATTGATTTTTCCTTCTGAATATTTAACACGACATTCTTCCTCTTCCCAACCATACAGGTATTTCTTGAAGTGTTTGATGTTTTACAATATACACAAACTACAGAAGTTGCTCTTGGCTTAATGAAACTAACATCATGCTTGGAGCGAGCCTTGGGTGATGTAAGTGCCAAGATGGGGAGTCTATTACAGATTTGGCTGCTTTTAAGACGGGAATGAGCTCTTGGATTTAATTGTATATTGAAAAAGTGAAATTAACCTGTACTCTAGTAATGCACTAATAATCCAGGTGCATTTTGAGTCAGAGAGAGGTTCTTTTCTGGATCCAGTTGTGCTGGGGAAGCATCATCTGGGGCTCCTTCACCTGTGCTGGTAGCCTTGCTTGTGTGAGTGCCATTACTAACCAATTTAATTAAAAAAGAAAAGAGTTTGATTAATCAATAAGTCTTTTCTACTTTGATTTTTTTAACTGAAACAGGGAGCAACATAGCTTCCACGAAAGATCTGATGGTGTAGTAACTTCTCTGAGAAATGGCATACAGGTGGAAAAATGGCCTGCTAAATAACTTTTTTCCTGGGGAGAAGGGAGCAACGGCTATTCAAAGAGTGTTTGCTACTGGGCTATATTAGGCACAGCTGGTTGTTAAATATCTATGAGCAACTCTAGAGAAGGAAATGACAGAGAAAGAACAATGGACTAACAGACAAATTTGCCCAAGAAGGGGGCTTGGTAAATTTAAAGTAACAAAAAATTACCAAAAATTGGAAAAAACTGTCAGGGAGAATACAAAGAACAGAAGGCATGATAGCAGCTGAAAATAGAGATGCTGAGATTGCCCAACAAGGATAAAACCTAGTTTAGGGAACAGCCTGAATCAGAAGACAAACCACAAGTCTCCTCCCTTTAATACTGACAGACCCTGTAGATTTCTAGGATAAGAATGAAATATCATGTCCTTGGTAGAGTTTATTCCCATAATTATGTTCTTGTTGTGCTTTACTGTTTTTTGTGGTTTGGGGTTTTTTTGGAAGAGAAGAGCAGTACATGTACAGACACTGTGAAAAGCCTAACTATGGAAACATTAAGAAGGATATTCACTCTTTTCTGATATGTTGCCTAGATTTTAATTTGTCACGAAATTACAGAATTTAAAGCCTTTTTAAGGACTTGCAGTGTTTTGTTTGATTAGTGTTTTTACAATCATCGTCGTCATCATCATCATCATGGCTGGGCTTTGCGAACGAGGATTTGGGAAGGGCTCTACCCACATTTGCTACAAGTACACTGGTGGCTAAGAAGGCCAGTGCGAGATAGACAAGTCTGGTTGCAAAAGGCACAGCAGAAGGACTCCTTAGGTGGTATTGACAAGCTGCAATTCTTTCTATGTTGTCTTTTCTCCTCGAGAGTGATCCTGCGTGTGTTCTCAAAAGAAGCAGCAGCGTTATAGATGGTGTGTCTCCAGACCTCTTGATTGGAGGCCAGAGTAGACCAATGATGATGATGTTTTTACAATAATGAAAATGATTACTGGGTGAAATAATCAAGTTATATGTTTGAAATACAAAGAAGTACACTAAATTATTATCTGTTTTGCTTTTTTTTTTAATAGGTATATTTACTTAAGGGTAATGATTGCCCTTTCCTTCTAAGAGACTTGCTCGCATCTGAGCAGCTAGCAGTTATCTTTGGACAAGCTGTAGTAAGTGCACACTTTTGAAATAGGTAATAAATATTGAGCTGGTTTTCTTCTGGCCAAATGGCAGGTGTCCAAGTGTAGCCTTTACTTGTACTGAAGAAGAGGTTGCAAATTCTGTATATTGTAGATTTATTTTCATTTTATACATGTTACCGTCTGGGGGGTATATGATTTAAAGAAAAAGTTAATATTGTAAAAGAAAAAGTTTTAAAGGCAAGGTCATAAGTTCTTATTTCCCTTTCTGTATGAAAAACCTACATATCTAAAATTTCACATACCTGGCAGGCGACGAGCAGAGTTCATCTGCCTCATTCTGAGTTGCACTATTTGAAAATACACATCATGCACTGGCTGTTTCTGATAAGCTATGTTCCTCTTGACCACCAGTGTAGTAACATGCTTTATAACATTTACCATATTAAATTTTTTCAAAATAGAGGAAACTAATTTGCAAAAAAAAAAAACAATCCACAAAAATTTGATGATATTTGCACTCTTGTGCAAACAGAGTAGGTGGATATTCCACGTGCAGTCTTACAAGAGCACATTCTTTCTTAGAACAAAATATTGGGTGTGAACTGCGGAAGCCTGTGTTGTTAGCCAGTCTAGTAGTGTAACAAAAACTATGTCTTGAATTTTGATGGCATATGGAATACTTAAATTCTTACAAAATAAAATAAAATAAATCAAAGTTTCCCATTTTGTTTGATAGTGATCTGGGAATACAACTTTGAATGCAAATTCTATATTTTATGCTAATTTGTATTAAATTATGTGGACTTATACTACAAGAAGTAAGAGCTATACTTTATCTTATACTTTATATTTTTTTTACCTGTCATAACTCCTTGGAATGTCCAATAACTAGTTTTGTTTGTCCCATATTCTATAGCCTATACAAATAAGATGAACAATTTCCTTTCAGAGAATGCTGGGAATTGCAAATAGTGAGTTTCTGTCACTGTGACAAGCTGTGGCCAGTCATGTTGACAGGAGATATTATAGTTTCTCAATAACTTCTGAAGTTTTCTGTTAGGGGAAGATAATAAAATTAAAAAAGATAATAAATAAATAATATTTTTCTTCATGCAGTAATTATTATGTTTATTAATTAGATGAATGTACTGAGGATATTCATTGGATCTCCATATGGTCTGAATCTTCGTAATGTTTTGTGGCATGGGTTTGCATCCCCACAAGAAATTCCTACCAAGTAAGTTACCAAAAAAAATCTCATTTTCTTAACAGTCAGACTTGCGAGTTCTTGAAAAGTGGGTAGTAAAACTTACTTCTCCTATGGGGAAAAAAAAAAAAAATTGTCCAAAGGCCTCTGTCAGTATTCTGACAGATTTCTGCTGCTGCTGTTTCTTCTCTGGAAATGTAGAATGCTTCAGCCATTATTAGGACCGGTGTTTTTTGTACTGTTAAGTTAAGTAAGAAAGCTTAACTATTTTTTGAAATTCTGTCAGGGCAGTGAGGAATAACTTGGAACAAAAGACACAGGAATAGGGTAGAAGGAGGAGCAACAGCAGCCAATAGAGAATACAATGATGCTTTTTTCCTGATTCTAGTCTTTAATTTTTTTTCATGCTTGTGAACGTAATTAGTTATTAAGTGCCCCTGCTCACGTGGGGAGTGTAGGTTTTGGGTGTTCTATGAAAGAGTGGAAAAAAACCCTTCATCCCTAACTCAGAAATGTTGATCTTTACAGAAGATTTCTTTGTATAAGCTTTTCTAATATATTATGTTATTCTCCCTAGATATTGTGCTATGCTGCTTTTTTTAACTGCAGGGTTGGGTCAGTTGTTGCAGACTTATCTTCTGCAAAATAAATGTATTTTACTACATCGACCTTATGTGATCTTCGTTAGCTTAGAGGAGCTTGATGTATTTCCAGGCAAGTATTTATATATTAGCAAGTTTTTTATTATCTTATATTTGCTATTGTTTGATTGTCCAAAAGCGCTGTTGAAAATACTGCATCTTCTAGAGTTCCAAGATTAAATCTTAACTAAGATACCTGTATATACTGTCATTAGATGAATCAGTCATGATTGTAGGACAGCTTTTTAATATGTAGGCAGTCGCACTGACTATTTAATCAAAAAATACTGTGTTATAAAATAATTGTAATACGTTGAAACATGAAACACGACTGCTTCTAAAAGACTTCAACTGTATACTCCATTTTTTGATTATGAGTTCATTTCATCTAACAGTTGTCTAGTTTGCCTTTACAAAATCTAACTTCTTCCAGAAACAATGGGTTCCAGCTGCAAGGGTCCCAGCAGGAGTGCCCTCAGTCTTACAAGGAATATAGTACTGAAACACAGTAAAGGATGATGACACATCTTCAGTATACTAATGCTTTTCTCAGGAAAGCACTTGAAGTCAGATTAAAACTGTCTCATCTCCCTGTCTTCAGACCTTATTTTGTTTATTCCTACTATTTTTGAGGCAACAGCAGCATATGGGAAATCTTGGTGTCAGTGGTCATCATGGTCGATTTGTGCTATATAATCAGTTTGCCAGTGGAACATCTGTCCATGGAACTGAGACAGGGCTTTTGGGAACCAAATCAAGCTGATAACATCCCAATAATGTTGTAGGATAAATGCTATAGCTGTTGATTTACTTTGAAAAAACACCAAGTGCAATCAAGTCCCACTTACCATTTTAATCTTTCTTTTGGATAAGACATTTATAATGTGAATGGATATATATGAGTTTCATTACCTGGTAGCATTGAAGTATGAAGTGTTAATTTACTATGCTACGTGTCAACACAGAAAATTGATAAAGTAGAAACAATGTACTCATGTTCAAATATTCATGCTACTGTACTGATTTTGGGTGAATAGAAATGATTAATTTATATTACACTTTTTAAAAGTATTTGAAGTAAGTGGAAAACAACTCCACAGAATCTAGGTCCAGTTGCTGTGTAGTGTTTTAATCTCAATAAAAAGCAAACATTACTTTTTAACTGTTTTTACTCTATAGTTTTATATTATCACCACAAATGCAATCTTACATACTCACATTCTGATCCTAAATATGGCTACTGTTGTACCTGCATAGTTAAAATAAATTGGATAATTTAAATCTCCCTTGACAAATGTTGAAATAGTATTATATTTTCAGTGAAATATTAAGAATGCATTAGTAAACTGGAGATTATATGTAGTTTTTCAATGTTGTTTTGTTAACTTGTAGATCTTAATAATGAAACACTTTCCATAGCTGAAGACCTTGTAAAACTGTCCAGTTTTGTATTAAAAACAATGTTACCATTTTGGATCGCTGCTTTAACAGCTTTCAAGCAAAGCAGGTAAGTCAAATTTTTTAAATTATTTTTTAATAGAATTTATTCTATATAGAATAATATATTCTATATTTATAATCTGCATTCACAGATTCCAAAGCTTTTTACTAAGTCTGTTACTTAACTTATTCCAGCATATCGTTAGGCATTGTTATGGTGATCCCTCAGAAAGTTTCTCAACTTATGACTTTGTTTTGTACCAAATAAAGTTATAAACTATATTTTGAACCCTAAAGAGAACTGTTGGAGATGTAGCAACAAAGGAGAGATTTACAAAGCAAGGGAAACGAATCTCCGCATATTAAGATTTTGAATTTTTAAAAAAAGTGTATTGTTTTGTTTTTCTCTGCCATGCTTCACCTTTCAGTAAGTTATTCTAGCCTCTGAGCTTGTATTCAGTGATCAGTTTATGTTTGGCACAGGTAGTCATTTATTATTTGTTTACAAAGTGCATTACAAGGGAATTTTAGTCCAGGTCATTTGGCCTGAGACTTTAAGTCTGAAATGGCTGAATGGATTAAAACCTGGATATCTCTGTTAATTTTTCAGGTATGCTGACAGTGTGATTCTCTTACTTCCTCAGCTGGAAGTTGGACTTAGATTGCTCTTCACTACAACTAATAAATGTCCAAATCGTTTGCTAACAGCTGAGGTAAAATTTCTGTCTAAAGTCAATTATGATTTAGTGCTTACAATATTTGCAAAATAGTTATTCTAGAAGAATAGTGTCTATAAACATTTACAGATTTACCAAAAAAAAATTTCAGTCAATTATGGAAAATTATTTACAAATTTCCAGTTGAGATTCACTAATGCCTTTAATTTTTTTTAAATGTCTGCCAGTATAAAGGAATGAAAAAGTAGTTGAAGGTTAGTGTTCAGAAACAGTAGTTAAGGGTGAAAAGTAGGCCATGATATATTTATTACAAAAAAACTCAGCACAAAATCCAAAAGTCCCTTCATTTGTAAGGGGGTTTTTTTTTGCTATTCATACACCTCTGGTATCTCATGCAAATGAATAAATAAAAGTTTGATATGCATGTCTAGTTATTTGATTTTGTTTGAAAATCAAATAATATTGTCTTTTGTTCTAGTCTGCTGCTTTCTACACCACTTTCGATGAGGTACTGTGATTTATTTTTTTTTTTTAAATTAATATATATCAACGTCAGAATTTAAGCACATGCATGTTTCCCGTTACTAGAGTCCTGAGTGCACTTTCTTGTGTTGGATAAGATATTATTTCTAGCTTTTTTCAACATAAAAAATGATGGACAGTAAACATTTTAAATCTTTAATGCTTCAGAAAATATCAAAATTAATACACATTGTATTAAATGGAATATTTTCTTCTAAATGTTTTTAGCTTGAAATTCTTCACTCCACAGAAACATTCTGTCATTTTTCCTAGATTCAGTTGTTCAAAATAAATACAAATAAATATTGCATGCAGAAATCCTCAATTTTACAAGTTGTTTGAGTTATCTCAAATTGTCAGTAGTAATTAGGGACCTTGATTCTAGAGTGGCAGAAGGAATTGCGTAAAATTAGGAAAACTAATTACTTTAGTTATGTTTCTTCTTTGATTATTTGGCTTTCAATAATATAGTAAGTTTCTGTTCAAATTACTTTTCTTCTAGATGCTAGCAAAGCATTTGGATAACAATGAAGTCAACCAGCTACCTGTAGTTCTTGAAGAGCCTGCCATGGCAAGTGTTTTGAAAGTTTTCTGTGGTTTTTGTTTGGTTGGTTGGTTGGTTTTGGGGGTTTTTTTTCTTGTTTTAATTTGGTGGGTTTTTTTAGTTTAGTAATGTCTTTTTGATCATTGAGTTAGGATATAGGACTACCTTTGTTTCTGAAATATAGATGTCTCGGAGATACTTTTCTTTAGACTTCTGAAGTTCAGCTGAATGGAGCAGAAGAAGAACTGATGCCTCATACAGGAAAATTTCAGACTTATTTCTGATTGCTTCTGGGACACATCTTCTACTGTCTGGGCAGATGGCACAAAAATGTGGCTCAAACCTGCAAAGCACATTCTGCATCTTACTACCCAAACAGATCATGAACGGGAAAACTAGGGGTGTTGAATTTAGAGATCTGAGGTTACTGTCCTGTTGCCAGAGGCAGTGGGGCTGTGGAGGGCTTGGGGCACAAAGTTGAAGGAAGTTGTCGTGGTTTTCTGTGGCTGGTTTTTTTCAGCGGGGGGGGAGGGCTACAAGGGGTGATTTCTGTTAGAAGCTGCTAGAAGTTTCCTCCCCCCCCCCACCATGGAGTCAATGACAGCTGGCTACAGGAAGGACTTCCTGATGTTTGGCCAAGGGAGAGCCAATTGTTGTGCCTCTGTGATAACATATTTAAGAAAAAAGGGTTGTTGCGCAGAAGAAAATGGAGCCAGGGGGTTGGCAGAGGGAAGCCTCTGGGCCCAGGCGCCGTAGCCCCAGCCCAGGGCAGGTGTGGTGCTGGAGCTGAGCCGGGCCGGGCTGGGGTGGCAGCCATGGCCCGAGGCCACGGAGCAGCTGTCCCGGGGCAGGCACAGCGCTGGAACCACGCCACACCAGCCTCAACTGGCCCCGCCAGTGGGCACTGCCCCCCCACCCCCGGCTGAGCTGGGATGGGCTAGGGGTGGCCCTGCCACATTGCAGCTGAGCCCATGATGGAACAAGTGGATGCATGAAAATGGAGGACTGGTACCCTCGTGGGAGGCCAGGGGGAGTGGGGTCCTTCGGAAGATCTGTGGCCCATGGAGAGGGAAGCCCACTCTGGAGCAGTGTCTTCTGAGTAGGACTAGTGACCCCTGTGGGGAACCCACGCCGGTACAGTATTCTCCGTCAAGGACTGCATTCTATGAAAAAATCGTCAGGGTGTAGAGACTCCTGCATCCCAAGACCTGCAGCCCGAGGGGGGGTGGATCCACATGGGTGAAGTCCACCAAAGACTATTTCCCATGGGAGGGACCCACGGGACAGGGGAATGACTCAGAGCTTTAGCCCCTGTAGCCCATGAAGAAAGACCTTGGTGGAGCAGGCTGTCCGCTGCAGCCCATCTAAGGGTAACTCACAAGTGTAGCAGATATGGAAGACCTGGTGCCCTGTGAGTGGAGAAGGGTGACCTACAAGTGCAACTGACTTGGAAGACCTGTTGCCTTATGGGTTTAGGTGGACTTCTCTTCCTGCACTGATGCAGGGGGAGGAGGGAGAATATGGAAGGAAGGAGGGGTGGTTGAAAAGTGTGTTTAAAACTGTTTTATCTCTCACTCTTTAGCTCCTATCCTGTTAGTAATAAATTTTAGTGCTATCCTCACATTGAATCTGTCTTGCCTGTGTGACCTCTCCTAGCTCTTAGCAATTTTCGTGGATGTTTGGAACCTGGCTAGGGTCAACCCACGACAGAAGTCTGTTGTTAGCTCTCCGAATTCAGCATGTATGTTAGTTTTGAATTTCCTCAGAAGCTACCAAGATGGATGAGTTGCACTTTTTTTTTTTTGTTACGAGTATAGTTTGCATTGGTTTTTTTTCTGAATATCTGAAAGCCTTTCCTATAGACATGATCACATACCTGTCTGTCAGGGATATTCTGTATACTGAATATATTCAATTCTGTGTTCATACACATAGAATAGAATTCTGTACATTTGATGTATGTTTCCACAGGAATTTCTTTGGGATTTCTTGAACCACCAGGAGGGTCCACGTGTAAGAGATCGTTTAAGCCATGGAGAAATCAATCTGGAAGCATTTCCCAGAGAAGTAGCTAATCAGATAGTTGCATTTGCAATTACTCTTCTCTGCAGATTCTCAGATGAGAATATGTTTTCTCTTAAGGTAGGGATCAGTATTATGTTCTCAGAAGATTTTTTTTTTGGTTACTTTGGATACCAAATATGTTTTTAGAGAGTTTGACTGAATCTTTCTTGAGAGCTGCTTTTTGTGGAAATGAAGTATTCATCCAAATAAAAAACTGTGAAAATATGGTTTTGCCTAGTTTTGTGGTGAAATAAGTACAGAAAGTTTTCCAAAAGATTACACTTTCTTCCTGTGCCTTAATTTGTTGGCTCAACCAGTCCTTATTCACGTGGTTAATCCATAAATTATAGTGATCCACTTAATTTTGTAAAATCGTATTGATACCTAGCCTGTTTGTCTGCTGAATTATCCAAAAGGTATGCACAACTGCTGTAGCTCACCCACTGAGGTATGTAGTTACTGAGATTTTCTTTTTCCAAGACTTTGTAAATAATGGTGGCTTGCTAATGTTGTTTGTATCCATACTTATACTGTGAATTTGTAAACACTTTTTGTCTAGCAATATGTTTGTCAACATTAGTGATTATTGTATTTACTCTCCCCAGTTTCCTGTTTATATTTGGGATTCCTTCTTTCAATGCCATACAGCAACCCGTGAGATAAATCTTACATTCATTAGTTGCAGCTCTTTTTAGTTTCTCAAGAAGTATTGCATGCTGCTGCATTATGAGAATACTTGGTTGCTTTTCTGTCAACTGCTGTCAGGTTTCATAGGTAAAATGTGCGAAATTAAGCTTTAACCACTCACTGTGCTGATTAGTTCTTTCAGCCCTCACACATTTGGAAGTCTTTACTGACATCAGTGCTATAGGTGGCTTGCATAAAATGAGGTATAAGTCTAGGTCTGTGTATGATTTTTGTGTGTTGTCTGTGATTTTGTAAATCAGGAACACACGGTCATAAAACCACTGATGAACTGTGCAAGTTGCTACCAATCTCGATTTCATCCAATTTCCCGTCTCAAGAAACAGGTAGGTGTCCACATCTATGAAAGCATTTTGGTCTTTAAAATGTGAATCATTAAAATTAGTCTAATTGTTTTCTTCATGCTTTGTTTGTCCTAAAAACAGTTAAAATCCTACATATTTTTTAGTTTTTTGCTATATCTTTTAAAATGAAAGGAAATTACAGTTGCTAAAATGAGATATAACTATGCACACTCCTGTTGATGCAATTGGTACTGTGTATGTGTTCTAGATCACTGAATAGGTTTATTCTTACCTGAATGTGTGTGCTGTTCTGTAATTTTTTTAATTTCCTTATGCTTTCTTAGTCAGAACCACTGGTTGGTCATGTCTCCAGGAATTTTGGATTAGGCTATTGCTAAGGTTTTTACTGTATGAACACTAGCTAAGATTCTGTCATTGTAGCAAAATCTGCTTTCCATTGTCATGGTAGTTCTCTACCAATCAGTTTAATGAACTGCTTTAGGATGTTCCTCTCTTGATTTCGGTGCACAGTAGACATACTTAGTACTTTTACTTTTCCACAGTGTTCAAACAGTATGTTATAAAAGTCATGTTAGTTAACTTTTTACATTAAAAGAAATGTAGAAAGAATAGTAAAATAGTTTATTCAGATAATGTTTTAGCATGAAAGTGTGATCAAGACTTTCTGCCCTAACACAGACCTTAACAATTGAAGTTGGCTTACACAATTGTGATTACTTAATTTTTTTCTAAAATTGCCACTGAGCAAAGTGAAATGCATTGGCCTGTCTGTCAAAGGCTACACTTTACAAAACATTTTTTGTTATGTGTTTTTAAGGTGCTGGAATGTATGAAGAGCATTCATTTATGGTCCGGATTGCCAACAGTGTCTGAGGAACAAGTTCAAACAATTAAAGGGTATATGTTTACTATATAAGATAGTTCTCAAAATAGTTATGAGGAATGGGGTTTGAGATGGTGAAATGTCTCTCCATATATTTTACTAGAAAGATTGTAGATGCCAGAGGGGTTGTGAGAAGACCCCTTTGTTCTCTTTAGCTTAATCTGTGCTGTGCACATCAGTACAAGTACTGTAAAAGCTATAAACAATGTGCTAATTTGAAGGGAGTGAGAAGATACCTGAAACACAGAGGTGTTAGTGGCTCCATATTCTGTTTCTGAAGAAATAGTCACCAAATGTAAAACAGAAAATAATGCCTTATTTTGAAAAGGACTTGATAACCAAAATAGTGGAAGACTTTATATAAGATATTAGTTAGAAAAAGAGTGTAACATCTCTTGTTATTTGAAAAGGAGGAAGTCATAAATAATATCACTGGAGGAAATTGTACTTGTTTAGAGCTGAGAAATGAAAATACAATGCATCTATCACATATTCAGTATACTGCAGGATTTTGATGGAGGATTAAGAGGGGTTCTGAAGATTGCTGAGACTGAGAAAAGGTTGTATTAAGTTGGAGAAATAAAAACATGCTTATAAAATGGAGGAAAAAGAACCATAATATCAGAGAGTGAGAATTAAATACACTGCTATAAAAAAAAAATCTACATCTTGATCTATGCTATTTGAGAAATAAGTACTACACTTTTATCATCTCAAATGTTGTTTTCTTTTTTTAAGTTCAGAAGAAAACGCTGAAGCTAGTACTTTACTTTTGATGATATCTGAAATTACATCTCAGTTGGTGCAATATATGCCTCAGAACTGCTGTAGTTCAGATGATCCAATCAATAGTGTCCTAACAGAGAGGTGAGTTTGCCTTCTGGTTCCTGCTCTCAGCTTCTACATACAAAAGAAGTGTCAAACCTGAGTTACTCACTTCCTTGTTTTCAGAGCAATGCTTGAAATGTTGTATGCACTTTTCTATTGTTGCTGCTGATTTAATCTGAAAATCTTAGAATCGCAGCTGAGCATCATCTTGAAAATTAAGATGGGACATTGTAGATTTGGGAATTACAGTAGAGATTTTACTTTGAAATTAACATGAAAAAATAACTATTTTTCTTTCAGGCTGGGAAAGCAAAATATCTGCTTATCTACTGACTAGATTAGGTTGGTTTTAATCTGTTTTGTGTGCTAAAATTGCATCAGAAATTCGTTTTAATGTATTTGATGTCACAGCTGTGCGTGGCATTCAAAATGGTAATACACTACTAAATAATTATGTTTTTACATGCTTTAATATCAAGATTCAGAAATAGAAGATATGTTGTAATACATGGTATCAGACTTGGAGGTATGTTAGTTCCGATTATGTCTACTTGGAATAATGTTTAAAACAATTTGACTTTTGACTCCCACTCTTAAGGGAGCCTTAAGACTCCCATGACTGCATGAGTATGTTGGAACAAAACACTCCTAATCAAACCCATTAGGCATGAGCAGGATAGTGCAAAGAGGATTTTACCTGTTGCTTTACTTACATAATGTGTGGGCCTGCTTTTTCCCACCCACCGATCTTCAATTTTCTCATTTATGAAAAAGAAGCCTAATTACTAAAGTCATAAACTTTATTTTGGAGGTTTCTACCTTATCACTTTTGGTCATTGATGTGTTGCTGTTTCAGAGGTGATTTGAGCATGAGGGAGATTAGGAAACACTTCTGTAAAAACAGTGTTTAAAGTGATGTGTGACACATCAGGGTAGTAGATTAGAATAGGACAGCAGGAACGTATTTGTGTGATTTAACAAAGCATGATCTGTGTGGTGTTGATTAAAAAAATCATCTCACCACCTGCATTTTACAAAATGTTAAGTCTACTGCTTGTTTTGCCCAGAAGAAGGACCACACACTAATGGAAGTACTAATTAATACCATTTGTTTCAGTGAGTTTTATTATGGTGAATGCTAATTCATTATGAGTTGAACTATGGTGGGAGGCTTCAACCACAACCCTGCTGTGATTTGATGTGTTCAGTATATAATTTCAGGCAGGCAGTTTCATTTATTGTGGTTTCGTTTCTTTGATCTGAAATGGGAAACATATTCATCACCAGCAGTTTTGCATTTATATTCAGTAAAGTGATAAAGAACGCAATCACTACCCCTGGTACACAGATCCTTGCTTTTTTTCAGTCTTGAGGTAAGGGCAGTTTGTTTCCAGGTTTTCTGAGTTAAAACATTATGAGTCAAACCACACTGAGTATGAAATATATCTCATGTTAAATCCAGCTAACGAAAGATTGACATTAAAAATCCCTTCCTGTTTTGGAGGCTGTTGACTGAACTTTGTGATACGCGTATTTGCACGCTTTATTCTCCTCGACCGGTTCTGGAAGTAGTGGTGATACTCCGCAAAATAAGCACGCAGTGCCATCAAGTGTCCGAACAAGTTATTGCCAGCGCTGAGGTGAGATACACACAGTGGGTGAACAAGACTCTACGTTCTCGTCAGAGGCATAACTATCTACGGATGTTGAACAGGTTGGCTGATGGTTTTCCTTTACTTAGGCTGAGAGAGAGTGGCTGCACTCTACTGTTGCTGGCTTTCAGTGGTTTGTCTTAGAAGGTTGAAGTCAACAGTGTTTGCATGTTCTCATTAACCATTTCAGAGTTAAGTGTCAAACCGGATTTCTGTTGAGCAGCAATGTTGAACTAAAGAGAAAATCTCAAACTGGAGAATAATTTAGTGGGTATTTTTTAGCATTGTAGATTACTTCACTGTAAATTACAAGCTTTCAAATTAAGTACCATTTAAATGTTAGATTGTATTTTTGTACGTGCTAGCTTTTCCTGTTTATTAAACGTATAAATACCATTCAAGATTTATCTGAATGCAATAGGTTTAACTGATTTGAAGACTTTATCTACTTTAGTTTGCTGCTTTTTATAATTATACCTGAATCAGCATCTTTATATATAGATATATCTATATGTAGATTGTTTAATATTTCATTAAGTTTTGTTACTATTCCTAAGTACTTTCCTGGGTTTTATGAATCTACTTTAAAAACTGGGAAAACTGTAGATTTTGTATTATTGCCCAGGTTATGTTCCTAAAAATGTTAACCATATTATTTAAGAAAAAGCTTAAACTGAAACCGATGATACATTTTGCAAATCAGTTGAAATCTGCTTTATTTTCTATGGAATAGTGGGTGCCCATGAGTTTTGCTTTGGAATCTTAACTTTATGAATTTCATCTTTTTCCTCTTTTGGAGGTTTCATCATTTACAGTCTTCATTTCTTGTTCTGGGATTTGCACTTTTTGCTGAAGGACATTTCATAGTCCTTTTTTTTTTTTTTTTGCCCCACTCTGCAATATCCAGCTACTTAGGATTGGTGCAGAAATCTGAAGAATTCTTCTATGTTAGTGATTTTTTTTTATTTGGTTTTAGTTTGTTTATTTTAATTTGTTTTTTTATTTCTAGCATTAAATTTTTGTCTCCAGTGTTGCGACTCATCTTAATATTGATTACCATGGAAGTAGTCAGTGTTCATGCCGTTTGTAAGAAGAATCCTTTTGATTATCAGCAGTATCTAAAGTGAGTATCTAAACTTACTTTATGAAAATAGGAATTGTACATATTCCTTTCTGTTCTGTAATACAAATCCTGTAGAGATTTTCTATCATTAGTCATAATTATATCTCAGACAATGTTCACTTAAGAACTAAAATAACTCAGCTGAAAATATATGGTCCAGTTATTCACATTTTTAATTTTTATTAGACTCCCCCTTACTATAGATAGGAAACAATCATACACTCAAATAAGAATACATAAATACTGTATTTAAGATGTTGGTGATTTTTCTCTTTGTGTGTCAATTAATAGCTGGTTGGGTATCATATACATTGTGAAACAATCGACTGAGAAAAGAAAGGAAGCCATTTGGGGAAAATTCTGTCACACATTTTGTCACTCTGTTCTTTCTATGGAAGTGTTAATTGCAGTTCTGAAAATCTTTACATTCTACTGTGAGAGTGAGGGAGTGGTTCTTTTCCAGAAGTAGAACAAACCTGAATGTATTGATCATCTTGAGGAAGATTTGGATATTTGAAGATGTTAGCAGCTTTAAATCAGGCATTGAGATATTTTTCTTTTTTTCTTTCTTTTTAAATCCTTTAAAAAGATTTTCTTCTTTGGTGTTATTTCTCATAGGTTTTTGAAGTTAATCTTGCAGTACACTGAAAACTTGGTGACATACACAAGCCCTGAGAAAAACAAGTGGGACGAAACCATGGAACTTACAAACAAGGCTTTGATAAAAATAAGAAAAATCAGTGACAGAAAGCTAATGTTAATGCATCTGGCTACATGAATTAAATGGGCTTAAGATTGTTTGGACATTGTAATATCTAAAGAGTTCTGGAGTCCTCGTGTTTGTCAAGTCTAATTCAAAGACAAACTTCATCAGACATTGTCGAAGTTTGGATGCAAAATATAGTCTTTTTATTAGAAGGTAGCTGTTGAGACTGGAGAAGAAGGATCAAGCTTTCATAAAATGAATTGTTTACTGAATGCACTGAAAAAGATTTACTGTGAACTAAATCAGGATAATGCAAGTTCTACTGTAAATATATTTTGTATTTTGTACATTGGGGCTTTTTTTGTAGTTTTCTATTGTATTGGAAAATAGCTAAATAAAGAGTGTGAATAAAAGATCTGAGATTTTTAAATTCAAAAACTAATTTTTTACTTAGCAATACACTGGAATTTATGTCAGATGCTGTGTTCAACAGGTTAGGAAACGATGAGCATAGAATAGCGCTCGTTGGCACCAGTGGTTGTTGGTATTAGTTCTAAACAGTGTCAGATCTTGCATTGTTGTAGAGCTGATAACACAATAACCAGTTGTTGATATACCATAATTTAAAGGATACAAGATGGAATAACTTTAGCACAACATGTGTTTATTTTGTTTAATTTCACCTGCTCATTCCCAGTACATATTTAGTTAGTCAGTGGATGAACACTCACATGCACATGCTCACAGACACATATTCATTGTGGTTCAGAAAGTTGTCCTCTTGTTGCACACAACATTCATTTGAATAATTTGGTTTTTTTAAATAGATTCCCCCCCTTTTTTATCACCAAAGAATAGAATTTCAAAGAACAGATTCACAGAAGACCACCAGTGTCTATCCATTTGCTTTCTCCTATGGAGAGTAAAACCAGGGGTTCCTTCTGGAGAATATTTGTCCCTACAAAGGATTAGAGATTCAAGTTACATTTTAATAAGCTTCTTTGCAATGTTTCTTGACTGGAAATCACAGTGAGAGGTTTATTTGGTGTGGGGGATTGATATACAATCAATATACAAGTTCCTTTATGTTACTCTTGAAATATATCGTGTGTGTTTGAAATTTAGCTATGTCACTTTTTTTATTGCTATGAAATCTAAAGGGTGTGAAGAAGTTTGAACTAGATAAAAAAAGATTAAGAATAGAGAATAATGAATGAAATGCAGTGTATGAGCCACAGTCTAAAATTTCAACTTTTTTTAAAACCTCAGCTGGCAAATGTTAATGATATTTTTGGGGGCTTATACACTTTGACTTTGTTCAGATATGTTAACTTCATCTAGGTGTGACTTGGTAGTGACATTTATGATGACTCTTGCTTTGATGGTAGTAAGTATTGTAAGGGGGTGGGTGATAAGTATTGTAAGGCAAAAATTATTTAGGATTTACATATTGACTGTATGAAAGAGATCAAGAAACTAAAACGCAGTCATGTTTTAGAAGTACATAAATGGCTGACATGCTTTCTCCTTTTAGAACTGTGTTCATGTACTGAAAAGCACCTTTATAGACTATAGATGTATATTTTCAACAGCATGAGCTCTCCTTTTGTTCCTATATTTAAACTTCACTAAAATTATCTTGTGTGCTGTTCTCTTCATATGCTTTTACCTAAGATACAGCACATTGACAGTTTCTTCTTTTGTAATTAGTGCCATAGATGTGATTTGCTGCTCTAAGTCCGTGGTAAGAAATATGGACTTCTGGCAATTTTGTCAAAGATGCTTTTCCAGTTTGTTTTCCTACCTCTGAAGCTCTATTATGGGAACGCTGCTGCCCTCTATTGTTAAACAAATCTTGAACAGGCTGGTACAATCCAGTTATTTATTCTGACTTAATGTTGTCATTTACCAGTAGGGCTTATGGCTTATGAATTCTTCCTGCTGTTAAAAGACTTGTAGAATACAGCTGTAGAATAAGTGTATATCCTACAATGCACATTGAAGAACAAATGGCAAGAGATATGGTAGAGGTCATTGGGTTTGTCCCTTATCAGTTACTTACTTTTCCACTTCAGTTACTCATCTTTGCCACCTCTTTGGAGTCACTTTTAAGTTATTAGAAAGAGTCTTAACTCTGAACACTCAGAGAGTATTGCTGAGAGCAAAACAAGCTTGGAATAACCTAAGACATCCAGTGTCATGCATGAGTAACACTGACAAAACATATCACATTTAAATGCAAATGTTCTGATTTTGTTGTCCTAAAGGAAATTAATTCAGGATCTGAGCTGTCCAAAACTGCATAGTCATCCATTAGGCATTCGAGTTCAGTCTTTTTTCAAAATTCTGGAAATTTCAAACATCTAGAATTGTACCAAAGAATGTTTTCTTGCAAGTGTGGCATTTCATCCAAGTGTTACTTGGATCTGCTTTAATTGTCGGCCTTGCTCCCTGAGGTCTGTGTTTTCCTTGAGATGTTCACTCAGTGAATCTATACAGACATAGACATGGAATATCCAACATCTCCTGGGGAAAGTTGTTGAAATATTTTGTTTTGCTGGATAATGCTGATGAGGGATTGATGATTCCTGTCAGTTCTGACTTCAATTAACCAATTTATATGTGGGTGTGTATTAGTTAAAAATAACTGAGAATTTTTTTCTAATACTTCCTGATCTTAAAAGCTAATGTTAGGCATCCCAACTCAAAGAATTTATAACAGAAGTTTGGAAAATGTGGAAGGAAATCAGGTATTCATCTTCTTGGCTATTGGAATTCATTGGAATTCCTCTGCATGTTCTTGACTGTCCCATTAAAGAGGAACATCTCTAATTATTTTAGCTTTACAGTAATGAGATGTAGTTCCTCTGCCTGCCTTCCATCTGAAGGAGAGTTTTCAAATGGGAGATTTTATTAAATAGTAACAAATAGAATGCTCTTAATTCAAATTGGCATGGATATAGTTTTCTGGCATGGATATAGTTTTCAAGTAAAGGTAGAAATCCTTTGTTGCTTATAACAGAACTAGTGAAAATTAATGTTGTAGGAAGTTCTCTGAATCCATTGTCTCCATCATTATGTGAACGGTTTTATTCAGTATGCATAAATATTTGAAGAAAAGGCAATCTCTGAAGTAATTACATTGTAGTTGTGTGAACATTATGATTTTTGGTACCTTCTAGGAAGCATCAAGACCAACTAGAGGTTTACCAAGGCAGGCACGGCACAAATACAGTGAAACATCTATTATGGTAGGCATCTGTGTGTGGAAACAAAGTTTGCCCTTTATGTTCTTTCTGTCATTCTCTACTTGGTGCTCTCCACAATGATGATAGGAGGAGTTAGAAACAGAACCATGTGTTCTTATACAAATGTGACACCACTGGCTAAAAGTAATTAAAACCTTGTTGGGGTTGTCATCACTATTGCATAATACAGAAATGTTTACGTAAGAAATAGAGCAACAAATTTGATTTACTTTATCTTTTAATAATTCCCATCTAGCTGTTTTGAAGTAGCCTGATGCCCTTTGAAGTGAACACATGGTGGCAGTGTTTGGTAATTCAAAATAACACTCCAGGCTGACGTTGGCTTTCTTATCTCTTTCCTTAGGATGTGTATAAAGAAATCAAGTTTTCTTTTGATTTCATCAGCTTTTTTTATATGTGTCTCTAATTGTGTCTTCTCATGAAACTTTTTTCTCTTCTCATTTGTTTCAGATCACTTTTGGAGAAATTGAACATCTCTGAAAAAAGAAGTTTTGCAAACATTTTAATAATTAGGTGGATGTTCATCACATTTACCACACCACTACTTGCTGAGGACTTTTTGAATTTACCAGAGGCTCATCAGCTCCCCCTTTCCTTACTCAGTTTAAGAGAATGAGTTCTTTGAATTTAAAAAGTTACTTATTCGAGCAAATTATTGTTTTACAAAACATAAGTATCCAGATTATCCCTTATTAATTGCTGTGATATCACGCAAAAAAAATCTTATCTCAAAAGTAGTATGTACCTTTTGCACAAGAATAATAATTGTCAAGAAATGTGTTTATTGAGAAAATTGCACTAAGGTCTCAGTCTTATTGCTGTGGTAATGCTTTTTCAATCTGTTGAAACTGAAATGTGCTATTCATGTGCCACCCTGCAAAGAAGATCTAGCTGAGCATTGCTTGTTGGGTGGCCTTTGAAAACCTTGTTCACAGTAGCACTTTCAAACCATGCTGAGAGATTGCAGCTAAAAAGGATTTTCATTCACATGAATTGATTTTTGTGCACTGTGAAATCTTGTGTAGAAATGTTGGAACATCCCCAGAAGAGCTTGTTTTTGCTTTACAGTACATGAGTGCATCTGGTCCATGTATGGTGTATCAACTTTTCTTCATAAATTAGTCTGCAGATGCAGAGCAGATTCCTGCTGGTGCAAACTATTCCTGCCCCATCTTCTTCAGTTCAGATCCTTTACTTTGAAAGGATCTTCTCTGTGCTCTTTGGGTTTCCCTTGACGAGCGTTGGTTTCTATCTGTGCATCTTGTATGTTTTCAGCGAACTGGAAGAAAGAGCTATGTAGTTCAGATTAAATTGCTATATAGCAAAGCCTAATTAATTTAGTGGCTTACTTTGTAGGGAAATGGGGATCATATGGGACTTCAGAGCTACAAACCAAATTCTTATTCTTTCATGTTTTTGCGTTTGAGGAAGACCTTCACCTAAAAGTGAGTTTTCTTTTTGAGGCTTTTTTTGGGCAGTGCTATAGGTTAGAACACTTGATTTTTTACCTTTTCAAAAATTTTCAAGGATAAATGGAGATCTATCATTTAAGAAGTCTTTTAAACCGTAAGATTTTCAGATTAGAAATTGAAAGGAAAATGCCAGTTGTTTGTCTTCCCTGGGCCCTGGGTAACAGGATGTAAATATGGATAGTAAATACTGTGAGATCAAACTGGCGTTTTTTCTGAAGGTGAGAATCCAAGTCAATATATACAATTAAAGCCAACAGCCTTGCCTACCAGAAGGAGTCCATGTCTTCTGGTATTCTCCACTGGAACTTCTCTATTCCTCTCCCATGTATACGCATCTCACAGTTTCTCTACAAAAAAAAAAATAAAAGGCATAGTAGAACCAGCCAGCGCCAGTTTGTTTTCCATGTTTTCTTTTCTCTGTAAGGGATTAGTTGTAGTAACGGATTTCATGTGCCAGAAAGTGGGTGAACATTAACTATTTTGTCATGCACTGATCCTTCCCACAGCCTTGCAAAATTTGAAATGCAGGAATGGTTATTCATTAACATTTCTTTGTGTCTACAGGAAGTACATTTACTATGTAAACATGTTTTATATAGAACATACAGCTGTTTTGAACGAGCACTCAATGAAATGTAAGAGTACAGTGCCTACACTGCCACTGCAGACACTCTGAGATACCACAGCATTGCGTTTTGGAAGAGTGAACACACAAAGGCTTTGCCCAGAAAAAATAATGGTGGAAGTTTCCTTAAAAAAAAAAATAGTTCTTTAATTTTTTGATTGTTTTGTATCTGAAATGTGTCTGGACACTAAACTATTGATATACAGTCAATATTTAGAAGTGGGGTGGGTGGGGATGTGTTTCTTAGTGCTGATTTTAATAGAGATCCCACTAAAGAAGGAAAACTCAAGTACCATCAGTCCATTTTTCATAGACTATACTCCACTAGAAAAGAAACACAGTGTGCAGAAAATGTGATGAGAATAGCTAGAAGAACTATAGACTGCTTGTCCTGATAATGTCAGTTTCAAATCTGTGAGAAACTTTACTTGTAATACTTTTTCCTTGTGTCAGATGTGCCTCTCTGCAACCAAACCCACTGGCTGAACTTCACATTAAGAGCGTTCTGTGGAATTGAGATGTTTTCTGAAAAGGTGAGGAACGATTCTGCTTCCCAAAAAGTCAGAGTGGTTTTGTTGGACTGTTTGTTGCCTCTTGGTGGCTAAAGCTGTTTTACCCCTTCAGAACTAAAGGATGGTGCATTTACCAAGGTACTTCTCAAACTGGCTGTACACTGTGGGCCCTACTCTGTCAAAGGTACCATTCCTGAGGAACCACAGGGCCAAGAAACGTAGGTGTGCTGTGGAAAGGGTTTATGTACAGCAGGCCAAGCCTTTGGACAGCTCTCCACTGCACACAGGGTAGATGTTGAGGTACCAAGTTAGCATTTGAACCATGAGGTGCTATACTGTGAGTTTGTGTTTGGCCTTTAGGTGAGAGAGTCACAGAATCATTAAAGTTGGAAAAGACCCCCATGATCACTGAGTCTAACTGCTAGCCTAACACCACCTTGTTCACGGCAAAACCACATCCTCGAGTGCTACATCTACACATTTTTTGAATAATTCCAGGGATGGTGATTTCACCACTTCCCTGGGCAGCCTGTTACAATGCCTTACCACCATTTTCGTGAATAAATTTTTCCTCATATCCAACCTAAACCTCCCCTGATGCAACTTGTGGCCAGATTCCTCTTGTCCTGTTATTTGTTACTTGGAGAAAAGACTGACCCTTACCTGACTACAACCTCCTTTTAGGTAGTTGTGGAGAGTGATAAGGTCCCTCCTAATACTCCTTTCTCAGAAAAACCCATGACGGGAGAATGGAATCTTGGTTGTCTAACCACTCCTACATGTACCTTATTATATGTTAAGGAAGGGGAGGGTTTCTGGTGGTTTTAATGGGAAAATAATATTACTCTTAAACTGGCAGGATACTACAATGATAGGAGATGGCAATTGGATGAGCTCATAAATTTTGGATGAATGGCATCTGTGTAAAAGCGTAAGGTTAGTTCTACACAGTTGATAAAAAAAAAGTAACAACAACAACAACACAAAAAGCTGCAGTTGACCCTTCAGGATATAATGCACTTGTGTCAACATGGACTCTGCCCAAACATTGTTCTGCTGTGGAAGCAGCTGGATGCCCTGCCCTCTGGTTTATATAGCGCCAAAGGGAAGGGGTAGGGAGAGATGAGGTGAGGGAAGAGGGAGGAGAAAAAGAGGCAGCAGGGAAGAGAAAGCAAGCGCAGCTCACCTCTTCAACACCACACTCTGAGCTGAAAATATCCTGTGGCTGACCCTCTCAGTGCTCGTGTCTTGATATTTAGGAATCTGCATCAGCAGAGAAAGAGTGTCTGCCTCAAAGTCACAGGCATTGTTACAAGCAAGCAATTTTTCTGTTTCATTTACAAGTATTTTTCTTTGGGAGGCTGGACAGTGATGGTGAAAGGGGCAGGGGAGAGAGTAATAGCTGTTTCTATCTTGCCTGTAATATTTGAGATCTAATTTACAGTATTCTATTCCATAGTCGCATGATGGTGTCATTTTAATGGTGTATTAACACTGAAGTCTGGAATATTTATTTGGTTGAAAATGCATCTAATACTAAATACATCTCTAGGGAGATGTCTGTGGGATGATTACAGAACTGATGGCCATCAAATTGATAGCATTTCTCTGTCCTCCTGAGTCTTCTGCTGTAAAAGTGGGACAGGGTGTTTTCTGGTAAAGAGTAATGGTCTCTGTGCTATCCTCGGGGGTCGATGTGGCCCAGCACCTGCGCTCTGGATCCAGGATATAGAGCTTCTATGCAATTATCTTCCAGTTTGCTGCTAAATTTCTATTCAAATTAATCAGTAGTTGCTTGACATGAGAAATCACGTTGAGAGCTTTAAAGCTTTACCACACACCATTGCTTATTTATTTACAATCTATTATTCATGCTAGAAATACTGGCCAATTTAACCTGATTTGTAACCTTTCCTTTTTTTTTCCTTCTTGGCTGAAGTCTCCCATGTGATTTGCATGTGTATAAAGCTGAGGGCGAGAGGTGGGGGGAAAGAGGGTGGAGGGGGGTGTTGTTGTTGGGCTCTTTTTTTTTTTTAATATCTGTACCAGGTAATATCAGATAGTGCCCAATAGAGATTCTCTAGCATTCCTTACTTTAAAGCAGGTGAACATACTGAAGCAAAAGAGACATGACTGATCCTGGGAAAGAGTAACCACACCTGCAAATATGTGTGCTTGATTCACAGAGTTTTATTTAACATGGACTGTGTCAAAGCTAGGCTATGGATATTTTGAGAGTTTGTTTTCATTAACATTCAAGCAAGGTGCATTCCTGTCTGTGGGAAAGAAGGAAGCATGATGGAGAGAGCCCTGCAGCCTGGCATCTGCAGCATGATGATCTGTCGCTGTGAATTCTGCAGGCTCACGGCAAAAAGGGTGTGAACTCTTTTTGGTGGTCATGTATGTCCGTGGATCTGTGACAGTGGGGATTCACAACAGCCTTGCTGGATGGCAGGGATTGCAGCTGGTAGCAATCAAGAGGAAGCTATCATTTCCTTTTGACTTTTACAAAGTGACCTAATATAAGTTCTATTTATTCAGGTGTTTTTATACAAATTTTCCAAAGATCCCGAGTTTGACCTTTGTGTGTGTAGTTTCCCCTCCAATTAGTGAAAACCATTTAAAAATGCCAAGGATGGGACTAGAAGGGACCTCCTAGGTGCTGTATGCTGCTGGTACAGTCAACCAGATTGCAGACTTTTTCAGCTCTATCAAATACCAGAAATAATTTGTCTCTCCTACTTATCTGTTTACTGTACTACTGTACCAGAACCTTATTCAAGTTGCTTAGAAACCCTCTTCTAGTACCCAAGTTTTTTTTCACGGCCCATTCATATTAATTTGTTCATGTGCCGGTACTGTCCCCTAGTTGGGTGGCTCTTCTCTCTTTCTAATGTTTGCATATCACTTTGATGTATTTATAGTAAGGAACCATGTCCTTTCTCAGACTGCGTATTTTTATGTTAAACAAGCTTGGTGTCCACTCATAAAAAAGGTTTGTTATTTTATGGACACACAGAGTAGCCTTTCCCTGCACCTGTTCTTGTTTTAGTTCCTCATCCATAGGACCAGTCTTACCTAACCCTCTCAGTCTGGCAGAGGAGGTTGCACCACCATCTAGCATAACAGCAGAAATACTTGCCTGCCTGCCTGCCTGCACTGGCTTTACTTCACATGCTATGCACTAGGACCCTTGCAACATCTCCTGTTGATGGGTCTCGGTCATTCTATGATCATCTCATAAATAAAGGTCTTTTTCCTCTTCGCCTTCCTCAGGTAGGCATGCAGAGTTTTGTTTAGGGTTTTCTTGATTTTGGTTTTGGTTTTTTGTTTCTTTGTTTTATTTTGGGGAGGTTGTTGCGGTTTTTTTCGTCTAGAACAATACTATGCGTTTATTTAGATCTCTCCCGTTTCCTGCTTGAGGTAGTTTTTTAAAATATTGTCTCTGATCTTACAGCATCCCATGATGCTTATTTTCAGGTCTTGATAAGTCCCTTTCTGAGTTTACATCTTTTTAGGATGCATTGGCTACCATCTCTGCAGCTGCCTTCCTCTTAGCCTTTCTGTCCTTGCCTCCACCTTTTACATCGCCTTCCCTCACAAGGCCTGATGGTGAAGCCTTCATCTAGATTTCAGGGTGTGATGGAACATTTGTGATGTCTTTAACTTCAGAAGAGCCTCACTTTCTGTGGTTTCATTATAATCAGTACCTGATGGTTTTTTACTTGGTTTTTGTTGCATAAGGTTGAGGTCAGATTAACTGAAATAATTTCAACTTTGATGGCATACTTCCTCAGGCCTAACATGACTTCTTCAGATCCTAACCCAAATTTCCAGTATTAGTGTGATCTTTGCTTAATTCAGTACACTTTTAGAGGTGGTCATTCATCCACATGGGTTTGATTCCACCCTTGAAGAGTTCTCCCTTTGGCCAGAGGTTTGACATTT